TGCGCAACATGTTGCAAATGAATGTCAGCATCATTGTTAAACGACTGTGCAGAAATATGGATCCACATTCGGTATTGTACTTCATCTAGATGTTCCCGTATCACATGACCGACGGACGCATTCCAAGCGCCTATTGTTGTGGCTCAAAACGGACTCAAAGTTGTTACTATGAACACCCGTTATGGTGTTGACGAAACCGTCTTTGTGGTTGACAAAAATATGCATGTAACCTAGGGAACAAAGTGATCGGTAGGCTGCCCACTGATCGGTGTAAATTGTGGTTCCAGGTTGCACCGAACGTTGGACAAGAGGCAAGAGATCCTTCGCACAGCGGTTATCTACACATTGGAATTATCCTTTTCTCAGATTTCGGTCGTTCATCCGGATCATCTACAGTGTGGTTACCGGACGACCTCAACTGTATTCACTTTCGAAAGCGACACATTCATCCACTTCTACAAAGCTACTGACACCACCCTTTATTGTTGATAGTGTAAACATCACTGAAGAAGAGAGACATCTCTGCAATAAGTAAACAAGAGAATTGCACTTTTGCGTGAACAATGAACTGCTTCATAACAATCGTCGAGTTCCATCATATACTTCATTTTCGTGTTTTTCCGTTTTTCTGATGTTTTGATCCGAAATGCACCATATTGCAGAACTCGACAAGCTACATCACATGGTTGAATTTGAGTGAACGAATTGTTCTTTTCAATTGCAATGCGAGGATCGACATCAAACTGCACCGCGTGCTCATCCTGGTCGTGGAGCACCATCTGCTTCACTTCTCTCATCCCCCTTCACTTGGGAAACAAAAACGCGATTTTCGAATGACGACGTGCTACACTTCATCGAGAAGATTCAAATGGTTTTCATCGTTGATCCTTCGACGTGAGTCTGAACTGATCACACATCAGATGAACTTGTTGAGGCCGCACACAAAAATCGTCGAGTTTCATCATCTACTCCACTTTCGCGTTTTTCCGTATTCGTTGGACGGCAAATACCATTTCCCGGTTCCAAATGCATCGTACAATACACATGACCGAGCTGGCTGAAATCCGTCATCCATACTGATATTTTGATCAGAAATGCACCATAATGCAGTACTCGACAAGCTACATCACGTGGTTGACTTCAAGTCAACAAATTGTTCTTTTCAATTGCAATGCGAAGATTGACATCAAATTGCACCATGTGATGAAACTATTCGTTTAGTTCCATCAGTTTCGTGTTTTTCCGTATTCGGTGAACGGCATATACCATTTCCCGAATCGAAATGCACCGTACAATACACCTCACCGTGCTGGTTGAATTCTTCATTTCTACTGATATTTTGATCAGAAATGCACCATGTTCCAGAATTCGACAGGGTACATCACATGATTGACCATGAATGATCAAATTTCCTGTTCAATCGCAATGCGAGGATCAACATCAAATTGCACCGCGTGATCAACCTGGTCGTGGAGCACCATCTGCTTCACTTCTCTGTTCACTCTCCTCTGCGGAAACGAATACGCGATTTTCGAAAAACGGCGTGCTACACTTCATCCAGATGATTCAAATATTTTTCTTCGTTGATCTTTTGATCTGAGTCTGCATTGATCACACATCGGATGCACTGGTTGAGGCCGCACGCAAAAATCGTCGAGTTCCATCATCTACTCCAATTTCGTGTTTTTCCGTATACGTTGGACGGCATATACGACTTTCTGGATCCAAATGCATCGTACAATACAGCTGACCGAGCTGACTGAAATGTTCATTCTTAATGATGTTTTGATCAGGAATGCACGAAAGGACAGAACGCGACAACCTACATCACATGGTTGACTTTGAGTGAACAAATCATTCTACACCTCAACCGGACGATTCCAGTAATTTCCTCCGATGATCCTTTGACCTGAGTCTGAACTGATCACACATAAGATGCACTGCTTGAGGCCGCACACAAAAATCGACGAGTTCTATCATCTACTCCACTTTCGTGTTTTCCCATAATTGTTGGACGAGAAATACGATTTTCCAGATCGAAATGCCTCGTACAATACACCTGACCGAACCGTTTGAAATCCTTAATCAGTACTGATGTTTTGATCGGAAATGCACCAAAGGACAGATAGCGACGAGATAAATCACATGCTTGACTTTGAGTGAACAAATGTTTCTTTTCAATTGCTATGCGATTTATGACATCAAATTGCAACGCGTGATCAACCTGGTCTTGGGGCACCATCTGCTCCACTTCTCTGATCCCTCACCTCTTCGGAAAAGGAAATGCGATTTTCGAAAGACGGCGTGCTACACTTCATCCAGAGGATTCAAATATTTTTTTCTTTGATTTTTGACCTGAGTCTGAACTGATCACACATCAGACGCACTGGTTCAGGTAGAAAACAAAATCGTCGGGTTGGTTGGACCGCAAGTGCGAAGTTGCGTATTCAAATGCATCGTGCAGTACACCTGACCGAGCTGGCTGAAATCTTCATTCTTCTGATGTTTTGATCAGAAATGCACCAAAGGACAGAACGCGACGAGCTAAATCACATGGTTGACATTTTCTTAACAAATTGTTCTTTTCAATTGCAATGCGAGGATCGACATCAAATTGCACTTTGTGGTAAACCTGGTAGTCCAGTTTCATCACTTTCGTGTTTTTCCGTATTCGGTGGACGGCGTATACAATTTTCCGATTCTAATGCATCGTAAATTACACCTGACCGAGCTGGTTGAGACCCTTCATTTCTACTGATATTTTGATCAGAAATGCACCAAAGGACAGAACGCGACGAACTAACTTACATGGTTGACTTTGAGTGAACAAATCGTTCTACACCACATCCGGAAGATTCAAGTATTTTTCTTCGATGTTCCTTTGAGCTGAGTCTGAACTGGTCACGCATCAGATTTACTGGTTGAGGCCGCACACAAAAATCGTCAAGTTCCATCATCTACTCCACATTCGTGTTTTTCCGTATCAGTTGGTCGGAAAACGTGATTGTCTGCATCAAAATACATCCGACATTACACTTCGACGTGCCGCCTGGAAATCGTCATCTCTATTGATGTTTTGATCGGAAATGCACTTTCAGGGAACAAAATGTTGTTTTCAATTGCAATGCTGGGTTCGACATCAAATTGCACCGTGTGATGAACATGGTCGTCGAGTTCCATCATTTTCGTGTTTTTCCGTCTTCGTTGGACGGCATATACGATATCCCGTATCAAAATACATCGTACAATACACTTGACCGAGCTGGTTGAAATCCTTCTTCCCTACTGATGTTTTCATCAGAAATCCACTAAAGAGCAGAATGCGACGAGCTAAATCACATGGTTGAAGTTAACTGAACAAATCCTTCTACAATTCATCCAGAAGATTCAATAATATTTCTTCGATGATACTTTGACCCGAGTCTGAACTGATCACACGCCAGATGTAATGGTTCAGGCCAAACACGAAAATCGTCGAGTTCCATCATCTATTCCACTTGCGTGTTGTTCCGTATTGGTTCGAAGGCATATATTATTTTCCGGATCCCAATGCATCGCACAATAAACCTGACCGGGCTGGTTGAAATCCTTGATCCCTACTGATGTTTTGAACAGAAATGCACCATATTGCAGAACTCGACAAGCTACATCACATGGTTGACTTTGAGTGAACAAATTGTTCTTTTCAATTGCAATGCGGGGACCGACATCAAATTGCACCGCGTGATCAACCTGGTCGTGCAGCACCATCTGCTCCTCTTCTCTGATCCCTCTCCTCCTCGGAAAAGAAAACGCGATTTTCGAGATTGGCGTGATACACTTGAACCAGAAGATTCAAATACTGCCAATGAACTGGTTCATACTATTCGTCGAGTTCCATCATCTACTTCACTTTTCGTGTGTTTGCGTATCCGTGGGATCGAAAATATGATTTTCTGCATCCAAATGCATCGCACTGTACACTTCGCCGTGCCGCCTGGAATGCGTCATCTCTACTGATGTTTTGAAGGAAAATGCTCTGAGTGAACAAATTGTTCTTTTCAACTGCAATGCGACGATCAACATCGAATTGCACCCTGTGATGAACCTGGACGTCCAGTTTGATCATTTCCGTGTTGTTCCGTATTGGTTCGAAGGCATATATTATTTTCCGGATCCCAATGCATCGCACAATAAACCTGACCGGGCTGGTTGAAATCCTTGATCCCTACTGATGTTTTGAACAGAAATGCACCATATTGCAGAACTCGACAAGCTACATCACATGGTTGACTTTGAGTGAACAAATTGTTCTTTTCAATTGCAATGCGGGGACCGACATCAAATTGCACCGCGTGATCAACCTGGTCGTGCAGCACCATCTGCTCCTCTTCTCTGATCCCTCTCCTCCTCGGAAAAGAAAACGCGATTTTCGAGATTGGCGTGATACACTTGAACCAGAAGATTCAAATATTATTCTTGGTTGATCTTTTGACCTGAGTCTGCCTTGATCACACATCTGATACAGTGGTTGAGGCCGCACACAAAAATCGTCGAGTTCCATCATCTTCTCCACTTTTGTGTTTTTCCAACGCATACGTTGTACGGGAAGTACGATTTTCTGGATCCAAATGCATCGCACACTACACTTGACCGAGCTGGTTGAAATCCTTCTTTTCTACTGACGTGTTGATCAGAAATACACCAAAGGACAGAACGCGACGAGCTACATCACACAGTAAACTTTGAGTGAACAAATCCTTCTACACTTCATCCGGATGATTCAAATGTTTTTCATTTCACCTGAATGTGAACTGATGACACATGCGATGCACTTCTGCAGGTCCCGCAGAAATTCAATCAGAAGGTTCATTTGAGTATCCCGAACTATGTTTTGGAACCAAAAATGAAATTGACAATCGATGGGTACTTCTTGAATCAATCAAATTTGCGTTGCTCCCAAATGCCGAACGTGATCTGTCAAAGAATTGTTGCGTTACAATCCTCGAGTTCCTTCATCTTTTTCACTTTTCTTCCTTTCGCCTATCCATTGGACGGAAAATATGATTTTCTGCTTCAATTGCATCGGACAAAACAGTTCGCCGTGCCGCCTGGAATGCGTCATCTCTACAGACGTTGTGATGGACAATGCACTTTGAGTGAACAAATTGTTCTTCTCGGTTGCAATGCGACGACCGACACCAAGTTGCATCGTGTGATGAACCATCTGCTTCACTACTCTGAGCCCTTTCCCCTTCGGAAACGAAAACGCGATTTTCGAATAACGGCGTGCTACACTTCATCCAGATGATTCTATTATTTTTCTCTGTGGAGCTTTTGACCTGAGTCTTAACTGATGACACATCAGATGCACTGGTTGAGGCCGCACACAAAAATCGTCGAGTTCCATCAGCTACTCTACTTTTGTGTTTTTCCGTATTTGTTGGACGGGACGTACGACTTTCCGGATCCAAATGCATCGTACAATACACNAGTCTTAACTGATGACACATCAGATGCACTGGTTGAGGCCGCACACAAAAATCGTCGAGTTCTATAATCTACTCCACTTTCGTGTTTTTCGGTATTCGTTGGACTGCGTCATAGAGTTGATCCGGATGATTCAAATATTTTTCTTTGTTGATCTTCTGACCTGAATGTGATACATCGGATGCATATCTTCGGGCAGCGCACAAAATCAATCAAACGGTTCATTTGATTATTTGGAACAATTATTTTCGAACCGAAAATGAAATTGAAAATCGATGGGTGCTGAGTAAATCAATTGGACAAGCAACAAGTTTGCAGTCCTCGCAAATGCCAAACGTGACTTGCAAATGAAAAGATTCATGACAATCGTCGGGTTCCATCATGTAATTCGTTTCCGTGTTTTTCCGTTTTTCTTATGTTTTGATCCGAAATGCACCATATTGCAGAACCCGACAAGCTACATCACATGGTTGACTTTGAGTGAACGAATTGTTCTTTTCAATTGCAATGCGCTGAGCGACATCAAATTGCACCGTGTGATGAACCTGGTCGTCGAGTTCCATCCTTTCCGTGTTTTTCCGTATTCGTTGGACGCTTTATACCATTTTCCGGATCCAAATGCAACGTACAATACACCTGACCCAGCTGGTTGAAATCCTCCATTTCTAGTGATATTTTGATCAGAAATGAACCAAAGGACAGAACGCGACGAGCTAGATCACCTGGATGACGTTGAATGAAAAAAGTCGTACTTTTCATCCGGATGATTGAAATATTTTTCATTTCACCGCAATTCGAACTGATGACACATGCGACGCACCTGTGCGGGTCCCGCAGAAATTCAATCAGAAGGTTCATTTGAGTATTCCGAACAATGTTTTCGAACCAAAAAGGAAATTGAAAATCGATGGGCACTGAGTGAATCATTTGGACGAGGTACAATTTTGCGCTTCTCCCGAAGGCCGAACGTGACCTGTCAATGAACTGATCCGTAACAATCGTCGATTTCCATCATCTACTTCATTTTTGTGTTTATTCCTTATACGTTAGACGGTAAATATGATTATCTGCAACCAAATGCATCGGACAGTACACTTCGCCGTTCCCCCTGGAATGCGTCCGTCATCTCTAATGATGCTTTGACGGGAAATGCACTTCAAGTGAACAAATTGTTCTCTTCAATTCCATTGCGAGTATTGACATCAAATTGCACCGTGTGATGAACTTGGTCGTCGATTTCCAACATGTTTTGTTTTTCCGAATTCGTTGAACAGGCATATACGATTTTCCGGATCCAAATGACAGTACAATAAACCTGACCGGGCTGGTTGAATTCCTCCTTCCATACTGATGATTTGATCAGAAATGCATCAAAGGACAGAAAGTGACGAGCTAAATCACATGGTTGAGATTGAGTGAACAAATCGTTCTACACTTCATCCGGACGATCCAAATATTTTTGCTGGATGATCCTTTGACCTGAGTCTGAACTGATCACACATCAGATGTACTGCTTCAGGCCGAACAAAAAATTGTCGAGTTCTATGATCTACTACACTTTCGTGTTTTTCCGTATTCGTTGGACGGGAAGTACGATTTTCCGGATCCAAATGCATCCTAAAATACACCTGACCGAGGTGGATGAAATAATCCTTCCCTACTGATGTTTTGATCAGAAATGCACCATATTGCAGAACTCGACGTGCGACATCACATGGTTGACTTTGATTGAACTAATTGTTCTTTTCAATTGCATTGCGAGGATCGACTCCAAAATGCACCATGTGGTGAACCTGGTCATGGAGCAGCTTCTGCTCCTCTTCTTTGATCACTCACCGTTTCGGAAACTGAAACGCGATTTTCGAATAACGGCGTGCTACACTTCACAATGCGAGCATCGACTTCAAATTGCACAGCGTGATCAACCTGATCGTGGAGCACCATCTGCTTCACTTCTCTGATCCCTCTTCGGAAACGAAAACGCGATTTTCGAAAGACGGCGTGATAGACTTCATCCAGATGATTCAAATATTTTTCATCTTTGATTTTTGACCTGAGTCTGAACTGATCACACATCAGATACAGTGGTTGAGGCCGCACACAAAAATCGTCGAGTTACATCATCTACTACACTTTTGTGTTTTTCCGTATACGTTGGACGGCATATACCATTTGCTGCATTCAAATGCATCGTACAATACATTTGACTGAGCTGGTAGTAATCCATCATTTGTACTGATGTTTTGATCAGAAATGCACCAAAGGACAGAACGCGACGTGCTACATCACATGATTCCACAGTCGTGGATCTCTTGACTGTGGTGCCGCTCATCAAATTT